TCGGCTTTGGTGTTTGCAGTGCCACTGAATGCTATTAGTTTGGAAAGACAGCTCCACAATTAAAGTCACAGAACGCATAAAAGTCCAATAAGAACCTCTCAAGTCTCTGATCAGCTTTAAATGTGGATTCCAAGTAGGAGGAGAGGGGATGCTTATTTATCTAAAAGCATCATTCCTACTTGGCTTTCAACAGTTCGTTCATCTCAGAATGAGGGGGCTGGATTGATTTCTTTGGACTCAGCAATGTGTTTTGTCCTACTGTACAGCAAAAGGAACTATATTCAATATCCTGTAATAAACCATAATGGAAAAGAATATGAAAAAAATGCATACATATGTATAACTGAATCATTTTGCTATAACCAGAAACTAACACAACATTGTAAATCAACTACATTTCAATTAAAAAAGAAGTGTTTTAAAATGGACTTAAATCTAGAAGCCCTTCTGTAGCATATGTATTAAGGTTGAACGCCATGGCAATCATTGAGATATTCTATGGGAGAGTGTGAGCCTCAGCTCCAGGCACAAAGTGGAGCCTAGACTTATAGGCTAAGGTTTTACATTCAGACAAGCCGGGGTTCACATCAAGCTCTACCCCTTAACCAGCTACATCATCTCAGGCACAATACTTAACCTCTATAAGCCTCAGTTCCCCATAGGTAAAAGCTACCTCCATGAGGCTGTTTAAAATAATTACAGACCAGACCTTGTCCAGCACCTGGCTGGCTTATAGTAGGTAAATCTTTCTCTTTTTCTCTCCTGCTTCCCAATCTGGACAGCGTTTTTCAAACAGTTCCAATGCCACCTTCTCCCTCTAGCACGCCTTGATTACAGATTCCTGGATCACAGAATAAACTGCCCCAGAGTCTCAGGTCTTCACTGGCCAATATGGTTTTTTCTTCTATTTTCCCAGGAAGGAGAGGCTCTGGAAACAAGGCGGAATTGGGAAGAACAAGACAGAGCCAGAACCTGGGGTTCTGTACCCCACGCCTCTAGCCATCCCAGCCTGTGACCTTTGGAGAACTCTTTACCAGGAACACTTCATCGGCACGTGATTCCCGTAAAGGCACAGGGCCCTGCACTCAGAAGGGGCCATTACTTGGTTTCATGCTCTGCTGCCGCCATCCTGAATAATTTTTGAACGGGAGCCCCAAGTGTCCATTTTTCATTCAGCACCACCAATCATAAAGCCAGTGCTGCTTTCTTCCAACCTCGAAGACTCAGGATGCAGGTCACCTCTTCCGGGAAGACAGCATCAGCTCCTCTCTGATGGGCTCCCGTAACCTCTGCTTCATACCTCCATTAACTCACCCACCAATATTTAATGAACCCCTGCTACGATACCACCAGCACTGCCTTTCTTGGGCACAGACCAAATCCCAGCACAGTGCTAAGTTTTTTCTCATGCAAGAGTTATATTTACGGCAACTCTCTAAGGTAGGCGCTATTATTATCCCCAATTTACCGACAGATTAAGGGATCTGTCCCCACAGCAGGGGGGGAGGCAGAAGCAGGACTCTTGAATCCAGGCAGAGCACAAACTCAGAACCACTACTCCCCTCAACCACCAGGCGCTGTGCTCAGAGCAAGGAACGTGGTGGTCACGAAAGGGGATGCTCTTTTCAAGGACCACAACACTCATGCCGCTAAAGTATAACTACTAGTTACATTTTGTAATCATCCCCTGTACACGCCTGGATACCTTGCTGGACTATTAATTTCCCGAAGTCCCAGCCCCTCAAGTTTATCTCTGTAATACAGAAACCTCTCACAGACTTTGGAAAGTGATGGAGTTTCAAATATCCTTGAAGAATGAAAAAAAAGGTCATTTCTACATGTAGGCTAATTTTATTATCAATATTAAAATACTTCAAATACTTCTTATTAAACTATGACAATTACATTAAAAACTAATCCATTGATGTGTTGTTTTAGACACATCTTGAATGATATAAGATGATCTAAACCACTGGAAGCAGCAATTAAAAAAAAAAAAAAAAAAAAAAGATCATCCATTTTTTTCTCCCAATGGTGAATTTCTTATTTCCAGAGTTTTTAATTCACTTGTTTAAAATCAATTTTTTTCTCCAAGTTCGAAACTTTTTCAATTCGATTAACATAATGCCTCTACAATTTTGGTAACGTGCCACTGGCATTCTTAAAATGACATAAATTCCTGCATTGTTGTGAATCTAATTTTGAGACCTCGAGCAAACACGAATTGACGGACAAGCTACAAAGTAACTGGCCTAGGGGACTTCCCTGGCGGTCCAGTGGTGAAGACTCCGCCCTTCCACTGCAGGGGGTACGGGTTCGATCCCTGGTCTGGGAACTAAGATCCCACATGCCGCAAGGTGCAGCCAGAAAAAAAATAATAAAACAAAGTAACTGGCCTAAAACTGGCCTGTCCTTTTCAAAAATGTCAATGTCATAAAGAAATCCGGAGAACTCCGCCAAGTTCGAGGAGATCAGGGAGAAAGGACAACTAAATGCAAAAGGCAAACCTGTCCTGGCTCCTGGACAAGAAAAAAAAAAAAAAGCTATAAAAAAAATTTTAGGAACAAATGGCGAATTCTGAGTAAGAAGTATAGATGAGATTAATAGTAATGTAATGATAAACTTCCTGATTTTGTAATTATACTGTGCTATGTAAGGAGAACATCCTACTGGGAATTAAACGTTGATGTATTTACAGGTTAAAAGGGAACAGTGTATGCAACTTAATTCTCCAAGGGCTTAGAGAGTGTGAGGGGAAAGCGTGAAAAAGACAAAAGCTTAACAACCGATGAATCTGGGTGAAGGCAAACAGGAGTTTTCCACATGATTTCTGCAACTAATTTGCTAGTTAGAAGTTATCACCCACCCACCCCAAATATTTAACTATATTAGTACAAGCACTGCTGTTATCAAACAGGAAATGATGCCGAATGCAGATAAGTATAATGGCTTATAATCTCATGATCAAGGACTTGGTATTTTGGCTTCCAAACTTTTTTGAACTCCAAAAATAGTGTTGAAAAGTACAATTTTAGATGCCATGTGATAAAAAGAGAAAACAGTCCTGCGTGGATATACATATACATATCTGTTTCCCTTTGCTTTTGAAAAGCCTCACTCAAGAAAATATTATTAAATAATTGAATGGTAAGGTAAAAAAAAAAGGCTTCTTTCTCTTCCTCTCTCTGAAATCCTCCAGTCTGGGCTTCATACTTTGGCCCTTCCCCCCACAGTGTATCAAATAACTAACCTCCCCTCCTTCACTTTCCAAGCTGACAGTTTTCTTCAGTGCCTTTTGGGGCCTTTCAAAACAAATTGCAGAGCCAGGGTCTGGGTTAATATTCAGAACTCTGCTAGGTCTTCCCCTACTGTTGGATTGGCATGACAATGGAAACCACGGGCCACAGAAGGAGACCCACAAAGGAAGACAAGTTTTTAATGCTACAGCCATCTGCCAGTTCTCCTCGGGATCTTTTCAAGAACTGAGGGAAGCTAAAGCAGGGGCTGAGAAGGGGGTCGGGTCTGCAGGGGAGGGCAGAAAAATCACTCACAGGAAAAGCAATTGCAATATGAAAAGAACCAAAGAAGGTCTGGAGCCTGGATGGCTGAATGAATGGGATCCCAGGGCCCCTCCTCCTGAGCTCTAAATAGACCCACCGCACCCTCTCGATGGGGCTTTTGTCGGTTGCCAAGCATTTTAAATGTTATAGTCAGAATATGTTATTAAGGGAGGATTTAATATACACAAACCACAAAAAAACATACTCCAGAGGGGTCTTCTGATTACCCACATGGAAAGCCCAAGCCACCTGCCTTTGCAAAGATTACGCTGGGTTTTCTTTCTTTAGGGAGCAAAACGTCCTAAATACAGTAGTTTAGCAATAATAAAGCATTTCTATACCAACTCTAAATCCCCCCTTCTCCCAGAGACTTGCAACTTTTTAAGACCACCAACTATGAAAATCTATTTCAATGCATTAAAACAAGATACTTTCATGCCCTCACAGGATTATACTTTTTTAAAAAAAATTTGGAGCCTTAAATAAATTTCTCCAACATTTTTCCGAGAAGGAAAATTCTACTCAAACCCCTGAAACCATGGACGGACTGCTTCCTCAGAAGACTAACGCACTAAACATACAGCAGTTCACAACCTGGCTGGCTGCAAGCTCCCTTGGGCATCTATCTTATCTCTTTCCGAATTCTCAATTTCCTGAAGGCAAACCACAGTTTTTATTCCCCTCAGCCGCTCCTAAAACATTATTAATCCCTGAATGGGATCAGTAATCTTCGAGGAACTTTAGGTAACATTCTCTCAAGTCTGAATACAACCTTACAGGAAATCTAGGTAGAATTTGTAGTTGGAAACAGAAGTCGACACTGGCTGGGTTGTTTTGTGGGTTCTCAACGGTGTGTTTGAGCAGGTTTTTAAAATTCCCCCATTTCAAAAATTCAAATTAAACGTTACCTAGTAATTTCTCTTTGGGTCAGATTTAGTCACTCTTCACTCTTCCATCTTGAGGATTTATAAGATGGCTTCAAAGAAACCTTCACAGATGCAGCTTTTATTATATTAAGTCTGGTGCCTTCTTAAAAACTCACATTGCAAAGTTGTAACGTTCGTTTTGTAATGTTGAAAGAGTATCTTTTAAAGCTGCACTGCCTTGGAAACGCGTGTGGGAGGATGCAAAGCGCACAGAATTAAATTCCAGGTTGACGAGGCACAAGTCAGATGACAGGACTGGCTCTAAGAGGGCAGTGGCAGCCCAGGGATGCGGCTGGAGTAACCCCAGGTCCTGGGGCAGACGCTGGCCTCCCTGGTGCCGGCAACGAGTGACTGCCCTGCCACGGGGCACCCACACACCCGCCGGCCCCGGGCCTTGAACTCTGCTCCCTGACTGTCAGCGGCCCATGATTGAGTTGCAACCCTGTGGGCCACCCCCCACACACACTGGGGGCCCTGCTGCAGGAAGTGGCCCCACTGGGGCCAGGAGGCTGACCTCTCGCTGTGAGCCGGCTGTAGACCTGCGAGTTGACTTCCTTGTCTCGCACGTAGCATCGGATCTCCTCCACCGCCTCTCGGATGATGGTGACAGCCAGCACGAAGCCCTGCACAGAGACAGAGAGAGGGTGAGCCCTGGTGGAAGCCACCTTCCTCTCCTGGGGCCGGGGATAGAAAAGGCCAGAGGCCACTTGAGGGCAGCAGGGCAGGACCTGCTAATTATTCCAAGGGCAGAAACCCCAGCAAACCCACTTCTCTGAATCTCATGCACCGGAAAAACTCTCACTGACACACATGTGTACAGGGATGTCCGCAGTCACCACCACCACAGGGTTCCTAAGAGTGAAAAACACAGAAACCCCAGGACCGTCCGGCCACAGGTGAGGGCTGAGTGATGGTGACCTCTGACGTCTGCATCTCACTCGCCACGTGCCGGGTGCCATTCGAAGTGCTTTCCACCCCTTAGTGCAGTTCGTGGCTGAGATCACCACACTACCCGTGAAGAAACTGAGACACACAGAGGTTGAATAATCTTGCTCCTACGTGATATCGGAGGGAATCTAGTTCCAGAGTCTTAACCGCCACAACGTTCTGCCTCTGGAGAAACCTGGGTAGGTGGAACCAGAAAGATGGTCCACCAGGGCCCAAAGTGAAATGCATCCCTGTTTGTATTGACCTGTCAGTAGGGAAATTAACTTTCCGGAACATAACAATGTAACACTGTTCAAATTAACACCAACAAAGATTCTCCTATACTGCTAAAGATTTTCCACTGTCCTCCACTACTGGTTAGATTCCTCTGCAAGGTAGGGGGCTAAGATGGGATGGAGACTTCAGTCTTTCCTGTAATGTTTTAAACTTCTATAAAGAAAACATATTAAAGTATTAATTGCGTAAGTACACAATCATAAAAGGAAAATTTTAAACTGCCCTACCTTCCCAAGTCAGATACGCCAACTCATAAAAACCTGGTACAGAGGTTATACTCACAGGTATGTGAGTCACCCGTATCTAGAATCTATTTTCATCTAGATTTTTCCTCTTGTATCAAGAAAGGCAAGAACCGTCATTCATTTTTTCTTACAAAATACACTTGTCACCCCTCCTTTTAAAGTCTTTTTTTTTTTTTTAATGCAGAGAGCACAATCGCCCCAAGGTTAGCAGTAGTGAATTCTTTGAGGCTTTCATCTTCATACTGTTTATCCCATGCAATATATTAAGTTAGATTCAAAGGACTTCAAATCTCTTATGTAAATTTAGCCAGAGATGTGCTGCTCTGTGAAACTCCTCCAAAGGCCCACACATCTTTACAATCAAAGGATTACTCCTGTTTCCACTCAGATGTAAAGTACACACTGAAGCCAAAGCAAAACTGGTACATTTCAGAAAAAAAAACAAAAACGCATAACCAGACCACATACAGAGGTGAGAGAAAACCCATTCTGGAAAAGCACGGCCGGTTTGCAGAATCCCCACCCCCTCCCCCAGGCTGCTGTTTTGTTCTGGGCCATAACCCACGTTTTTTGTTGTTTGTTTTTTCAAATGTTCCAGTTTCTATTTCTCTCTGCATGGGCCTGGCTAAATCCCATTGATGTTAATGGAAAGTGTGTGCTCACTACAAAGACAGGAGGCGCTAACCTCCCCGCTACAAATAAATACCCCCTCATAAGTCACCGTATCTATGACCCCCGAACACACACACACACACACACACACACACACACACACACACACACATGCACACACGGTCCTCATCAATCCCAGGGGACGTGCCACATCTTAAGCTAGAAACTGCTTTACAAAGAGCTGCACATGTAGTCCAGAAATAAATTCCACCCGTCCAACTTTGGAGGTCCTTAAGAGCCACAGATACTGAGAAAGAGGCTTGAATGCGAGTGGGGGGTTTTCTGAGCTTGTAAGGAAATCAGAGGTGACGGTGAACAGACATGAAATTCTGAAGGTGCTAAGACTCTTCTATAAAGTTGTATGTCAAAAATAGATTTACTAAAGCAAAATTCTGAAGGAAATCAGAAAAGCCGTTCCCTCTGGTTGGGGAGGGGGCTGACTGGAGAGGGGCAAGAGGGGACTCCCGGGGTGATGGAATGGTCCTGACCAAGGTGGTGCTGACATGGGTGTTGACAAATGTCAACACACAGTGAACTGAAAACTTAGTATCTGTGCATTTTATGGCATGTAGATCGCATCTTAATAACAACAAAAGAAATCTAGGTTATGTGGTCTTCGTACAATTTTATGGATTATTTCAGCAGTCACCTGAGGAATTTCTCCCTCTAACATATTACTATCAAGAAAAAAGTTACCAAAACCTAAAACGTAATCCACACAATGAACAATGGCACTAGTACCAGAATTTTTTAATTAAAATGAGAACATTTCCCGAGAATGTTCTATGTGTCAGGAGCTATTTGAAGCATTTTACTTGCTGTACTTCACTGAACCTCCCAACAAGCCAAGGGAGTAGACATGATCGCCCCTATTTTATAGGTGAGGAAACTGAGGCTCAGAAAAGCTTGTTCCAATTACACAGCTTCTCAGAGAAGTTGCAGCAAGAGCTCAACCATCTGGCCACCCCGCCCGCATTTTGAACCACTGAGTTCACGGCTGGGTTTGAAATGAGAGGACTCTCAGGGTGGTTGGAGACATTTCAAAATGTACTTTAGCCAAGACGGGAAATTGATTCTCTACATAAAAATCTAGGGGATTTAGGGGAAGTCAGCTACAGTCTCCTAGAAACAGATGCTACCTAATTTGTCTGACCCCAAACTCCCTTCTCGGCAGCCCCTGGAAAGAGAGGAAGAACTTGTACAAGACAAACATCTCCTCCTGTCTCTGAACCATCACAGAAAACTTCGGCTATAAAAGGGGTCACAAGCTAGTGAGAAACCTCAGGACTGGGACGTCCCTGGTAGCGCAGTGGTTAAGACTCTGCGCTCTCAATGCAGGGGGCCCAGTTTCAATCCCCGGTCAGGGAACTAGATCCCACACGTGTGCCACACTAAGAGTTCACATGCCACAACTAAGGATCCCATGTGCTGCAACTTAGAGGCTGGCAAGCTGCAACTAAGGAGCCTGCCTGCCACAACTAAGACCCAGCACAACTAAATAAATAAATAAATAACCTCAGGACTGCCAGAGGCTGCTAGTAACCCACCTGTCTTCTCTCTACAGCCAGAGTCCCAGGGAAACCAAGTGATTCAGCTGCTTACGTTGAAAGTCAGGCCTTCTGGCTTCTCCCGGAAATTCTGAGCGTCATTTCAGAGAGGAGACATGGGCTAGGACCGGGGTCGGGCCCTCTTTTAGAAGGGTGGCAGCCCTCCAGGTCATCCCGACCCCCACGGTTCACCCCATTGCATTTCCTGAGACCCTGGAGTCAGCATCACCGGTGCTAATGTACAGAATACATACTAGGAACAGAAAAGGGTACAGTACCTAACAACAAGTTGCGTTCCACATTTTGATTCGCGGTCACCAGCCCCAAGAACCAATGTGGGCTCCCCCTGTGGAGGGAGCAACTCTATTCTGAATGGTTTCAAACACCCTGAGTGCACGTCTGATCTATGTAGTTTCCTATACCTTTCCAACTTCCGTAGAGGCACACGGAGGTGACTTAAGACAGAGATCTCTGCACATAAAGATAAAAAACACTTAAAAGAATAAAAGGCGGGCTTCCCTCGTGGCGCAGTGGTTGGGAGCCCGCCTGCCGATGCAGGGGACACGGGTTTGTGCCCCGGTCTGGGAGGATCCCACATGCCACGGAGCGGCTGGGCCCGTGAGCCATGGCCGCTGAGCCTGCGCGTCCGGAGCCTGTGCTCCGCAGCGGGAGAGGCCGCCGCGGCAGTAAGAGGCCCATGTACCGCCAAAAAAAAAAAAAAAAAAGAATAAAAGGCAACCCCCAGCTCCAAAGATAAACACTAACTTCGGTGAAGAACCTTCCAGACCTCCATGTATTTACATGCACAAGTGTGCAAAAATACTTCTTGTGGGGGAGAGGGTCATAAAAATGGGAGTATGCTGTCCATGTTATCCTGAAACTTACTTTTTTCATGCAAAGAAAAAGATGAGTCACACCGTGTCGTGTCGACATCACTGGAGTGACTTTGTCATTCCTGACTCCGGGGCAGCATCCCATAGTTTTGCTGGACCAGCGTTCAGGTAACCACCGATGGACATCTGTTTGCTTCCAGCGTCTGAGTAACATACGCCATGCTGCAAAGAATACCCTCGTACACACACCCCACACACACCCCAAAGCCTTTTCTGATATTCCAAAGCCCAGTCCTTAGAAAAAGAAAATGAGTGTCCGTCTCTGTGGGGCTTCACATCCTCTCCACACCGTAGCATGATCTCAAGCAAGCTCCTTATTCTCCTTTGCCCCATGTTCTTGTTTCTCGAGTGAAGCATCTTTTTTCTCTACCAGTCTGTTTTGCCTCCAGTCCATGGGAATCTCCAATAACCACTGTGGAAGAATTCGACAGAGCTGATCTCATTTCCAACCCCACTATTTCTCCTGCATAATTCCGTCTTCTCTGAGTCATACACATGACTCTTGGTTAACAGAATGAAAAATTTATGCCAAAGATGGCCAAAGTTCCCTCCCCAACGCACATGCCAACGCCAACGTGAACAAGGTTGTAGGGGTGCTAGTAGGTCTGCACCCCAAAAATCATTCGGACGATGGGTTTCTATGACAGGCTGGGCAGATGAATACCTCGAAGGGAAGAGAGCACAGACCAGATATCATGCTTGAGATGGTAAAGGCAGGGAGAGGGGGAGACACACAGCTGCCTTCTCGAACACCTTGGGATCCAATTGCATTTACCTAATACATACTTTACTATAATGTAAGTTAAAGTGTATGTAAAACAGGCACGTGTAAGAAGAGACTGAAAGGAAATAGACCAGAAACATAGATGGGGCATCTCAGGAGGTGGCTGCACAGGTAGGGATTTTTGCTGTGCTGCTTCTCCTTCAAATTTTTCTCCAAAAATAATGAGTCCCGGGCGACTTCCCTGGTGGTCCAGTGGTTAAGAATCCGCCCTTCCAATGCAGGGGACATGGTTTCAATCTCTGGTTGGGGAACTAAGATCCCACATGCCGCGGGGCAACTAAGCCCTCGTGCTGCAACTACTGAGCCCGTGCACTCTGCAGCCTGCGCCACAACCAGAGGGAAGCCCACACGCCGCAACTAGAGAAGCCCGCATGCCGCAATGAAGATCCCGCACGCTGCAACTAAGACCCAATGCAGCCAAATAAATAAATATTAAAAAAAAAAAAAAAGAATGAGTCCCTTTGTAGAGTCCCTTCGTAGTTGATAAAGGAAAAGAAAAATGAACAGAGGGCGTTTTGCAGGCAATAAAGCAGCAAGATCTGGGGTCTGGGGAGAACCCAACAGACAAGATTTGAGAGGTGGGATCTGGTCATCCCACACTCCCAGTCGAGGGTTCCTGAGCCCAGAAGGCACCAATATGAGGTACCAAGGAAACCCGTACAGCCTCAAGCAGAGCAGAGGCTGCAAACCGGCAGCCTGCGGACAGACCACAAGAGGAGGAAGGGGTATGCTCACTCCACACAGTGCTTTAACAATTTGTAAATAAGTTAGCAACGTTTGAAAATCAAGGGAAAGAGATGCTGGAAATTAGAAAAAAATGATTCAGCACTGTGTATATCTTGTAACCTTTTTTCTAAAAAGGAGCGTTGGGGAGCAGGGAAAAGACAAGATTTTTAAATTTTAATGTTGTATGTCAATTATACTTCAATTTTCAAAAATCATGGTAAACGGCAGAAGCCAGTCCAGAAAAAACTTACTCATTGTTTGTAAACTTTGGAAGAAGGAAAAAGAAATGAATGACAGTGTTTTGGGGGTGGAACTGGATAAAAGGGAGATTTTTCATGAGGTACCTTTTCACACGTTTCCTGAGTCGTGTGACTGTACTACCTTTCAAATAACTATACTTTTAAAACGTAATCAGTAAAACGCAGGGTGATAGATGATACTTTATACACATTGCAGACTAACTTTTCTTAAATAACTGACTTACAGTTTGACTTTATATAGGTATGTAGCAAACTGCTGTGGAACTAAAAAACTAAATAAAATTCGGGTCCTTCCGGTAAAACTCTGAAGTTTCTACCTCTTGGGCAACTCTGGGTCCATGTTTACAGCTGATGGAACAAAGCAGCATCTTCTGCTTTGAGATGGGACACGAGCACCCCCGCCCCCCGGCTTCTATCAGCCTGGCCTCTGAGTTAGTGACACTCACTGTGTAAAAGCACACACCCTGATGCAGACGGAAATGTCTGTTATCCCAACATCCTACCTCACCCACAAATGACTCAGAGCAGAAAAGAACGATTCCCGCATCCCAAATGCACCTCCACCGCCTGTGTGGAAGAAATAAACCCCCCTCCTCTTCCCAGGGCTGGAACTGCTGACACGACCTGTTTGATTAACGTACCACCAATGGCGTGTGGACCCCGCTCCCCGGGCCCCTGGCATCCACTTCCTCTGCTCCCTAAGTGCCTGCGCACCAAATCCTTACCGTCCAAAAGAACGTGTGTTTTTGTTTCCTTAAGGAGGAAACACCTTTTCTACTTTAACAATCTTCTCCCAATGAAAAATTTAACAAGATTTGTGAACAGAGAATCCGAGTGTTCCTTCCGAGCCCTGCGTAATGAAAATTAATATTTCATCATGTCTCTGGAGGAAAGGAAATGTCAGTTTCACCCTCTCTGTGCCCCAGACGCGCTGGGCTTCTTTCTGTTCTTCCAATACTCTAAGCGTGTGCTGAATGCAGGGCCTTTGCACTGCTGCTCCCTGAACCTGGGATCCTCCCACCCTCCTACTTTTCTTCCCATCACCTCCTCAAGAGGCCTTTCCCGGCCACCCTGGCTAAGACCGCCCCTCCACATCTCCCACCTTCATCCGCTCAACAAATACTAACTGTGCCTGGGATGCCCCATTTGCCCTACGACCTTCTACTACCTTCACAGCAGTTTCACAACTTGAAACAATTACGCTCAACTGTTTTACTGTCCCCGCTGAAAGTCAACTCCGCGAGGGCAGGAATTTTTCTACGTTTCAGTCACTGCTGCATCCCCAGCGCCCAGCACCGTGGCTGGCACACAGCAGGTGCTCAATAGCCATTTCCAAAAAGGCAGGAAGAAAGAAAAGGCGGCACAAGAGGGATGGAGGGGCGTCGGGTCTGTTACCCTCCATACACACTGAAGCACAGAATCTGTTCCCCTGTCAACCCTGCACGCTGAAAGAGTCTACATAATAAACAGAAAACGATTCAAAGAGCACAATGCACAGAGTCGGAGGCTTTGCCTTGCTCATGACCGCTGTGTACTAGAGCCTAGAACCGAGTGATTCACGATAGGCATGCAAAAAATATTTGCTGAAACAAGGAAAGGCTGAACAGCTGACGGACAGAAGGAATGAGTAGCACAGGCATCACTACGGTTGACCCCGGTAGTGGGAGAAACGGTGCCTCACCATGAAAACCTCAGGGGTTCCCAACGTGTTGGCCTGAGGGTGTCCTCTCCCTTGAAAGGCCGAGTCCCATTCCAGGTGCCTGGAGGACAAAGAACCTGTGCTGCCCAACCTCTGATGTTACTGAACGGACGACCCGACTGACTCACCAGGGGAACCCAGTAGGTGTACAGTGCTCCCAGTCGCATTTCGGGGACGAACTGGGAGCAGGCGAGAAGCAGGAAGTAGAGGTTGAAGAAGTATTTGAACTGGTTAAACAGCACCTGGAATGGAGAGAGAGGAGAGAGAAGACACTTCAGGTTGGTCTGATGCAGCTGGGCGGGCTTAGAGGGGGATGAGTGACATTTCAAAACACCCCCCCAGAAGAACAAAACTCACATGGTACCTACATATACGGTTTACACACCTCTACATGTTGTATAGGAAAATACACCTGGGTGGCGAAAACATAATTTGTCAAAGTAAAGAAGCAAATGATACACGTGGGAATTATAAACACTAGATTCAAGACAGTGGGGACCTCCGGGCAGGGAGGGTATGCTGGAGGCTTCGGCTATAGTTGTGAGATTTTATTTCTTAAACTTTTTTTTTTTTTTAATTTATGGCTGAGTTGGGTCTTCGTTGCTGTGCACGGGCTTTCTCTAGTTGCAGTGCACGGGCTTTCTCTAGTTGCAGTGCATGGGCTTCTCATTGCCGTGGGTTCTCTTGTTGCGAAGCACGGGCTCTAGAGCGCAGGCTCAGTAGTTGTGGCACACCAGGCTTAGTTGCTCCGCAGCATGTGGGATCTTCCTGGACCAGGGATCGAACCCGTATCCCCTTCACTGGCAGGCGGATTCTTAACCACTGCGCCACCAGGAAAGTCGGAAACTTTTTTTTTCCTATTTTTTGGCCACGTGGAGCAGCACGTGGGATCTCAGCTCCCCAACCAGGGATTGAACCCACGATTGATCCCTGAGGTGGAAGTGCAACGTCTTAACCAGTGGACCACCAGGGAAGTCCCTTCTTAAACTATTTTGTAAGTACAGGAAAGGCCACTCAAAATGTTGTTGAAGAGGTTTTAGTGGGAAATGCTTATGCTGTAAGACTGAATCAAACGAGTGAGATAAGTGGATATCTCCATGGTATGATCTCAACGTCATACAATATCTACAGCAGAATTTCATCCCATGTGGCAGGAGGGTTCTGGCAGAGTTTCAACTGCCCCCACGTGCCCTGGAAGTGACACTGATCCCCCTGACTCGTTTTGGGCAATGAACAGAAATCACGTGTCCCTTCGGAGCACTGTCCGGCCCCTCGCTCTTGCCCTGCCATGGAGACGTGGGTGCCCACGTATTCCAGATAATGTAGCTGTGAGATGGAGGAGAATGGCCTGATCTGCTTCAGAATTTCCATGAATGAGAAATAAACTTTCACTTGACTTAAGATACTGAGCTCGTGACTTCCCTGGTGGCGCAGTGGTTAAGAATCTGCCTACCAATGCAGCAGACACGGGTTTGAGCCCTGGTCTGGGAAGATCCCACATGCCGCGGAGCAACTAAGCCCATGTGCCACAACTACTGAGCCCACATACCACAACTACTGAAGCCCACGCACCTAGAGCCCGTACTCCGCAAAGAGAGAAGTCACCGCAATGAGAAGCCCACACACCACAACGAAGAACAGCCCCTACTCGCCACAACTAGAGAAAGCCTGCGTGCAGCAATGAAGACCCAACGCAGCCAAAAATTAATTAATTAATTTTAAAAAAAGATACTGAGCTTTAGGGGGCTGGGGGAGGGGAGTAAGCCAGGCAGCAATAAATGTACTCAAAACCACCCTTAAAGGGCTTCCCTGGTGGCACAGTGGTTGGGAGTCCGCCTGCCGATGCAGGGGACACGGGTTCGTGCCCCGGTCCGGGAAGATCCCACATGCCGCGGAGCGGCTGGGCCCGTGAGCCATGGCCGCTGAGCCTGCGCGTCCGGAGCCTGTGCTCTGCAACGGGAGAGGCCACAGCAATGAGAGGCCCGCGTACCGCAAAAAAAAAAAAATCACCCTTAAAAAAACATTCAGGTTGACCTTAAGCTACAGTGTAAGGTATCTGCATTTCCATGTTCTCCCTCAATAAATCAAACAGTGATTTTTTTTTTCCTTCCAGCTTTGGAACTGATTGCTGCTGCTGCTTCTGAAGTCAGTCAGTGTATTCTGGAGGCCACACTAGATAAAAACAGATGTTTAACTTAAAGGTGTTTTACGGGCAAGGTTTTCAGAGTACTTGTCCATGAATTTAACAAACAAAAGGGATGAATGCAGAGTAAAATACTACGCAAAACATTAGCAAACAGGCTTCCCTGGTGGTGCAGTGGTTGAGAGTCCGCCTGCCAATGCAGGGGACACGGGTTCGAGCCCTGGTCCGGGAAGATCCCACATGTCGCAGAGCAACTAAGCCCGTGTGCCACAACTACTGAGCCTGCGCCCTAGAGCCTGCACTCTAGAGCCTGTGAGCCACAACTACTGAAGCCCGCGCGCCTAGAGCCTGTGTGCTCTGCAATGAGAAGCCACTACAGTGAGGAGCCCGTGCACCGCAAGGAAGACTAGCCCCTGGTCGCCGCAACTAGAGAAAGCCCACGTGCAGCAACAAAGACCCAACGCAGCCAAAAATAAATTAAAAAAAAAAAAAATGTTCGCAAACATGTTAATAGAAAGTCTCTCTGGATGATAGTGTTAAAATTTACCTTTAAAAAAAGTTCTCAAAATAAATAAATAAATAAATAAAAATTAAAAAAAGTTCTCTACGCTTTTATCTCCCAACTTTCCTGTTCCAAATATGTATTTCATGATAATGAGGGGTGGGGGGGAATGTAAGCACTGATTTTTTTTTTTTTAATAAATTTATTTATTTATTTATTTTCGGCTGCGTTTGTTGCTGTGCGCAGGCTTTCTCTACTTGTGGTGAGCGGGGGCTACGCTTCGTTGCAGTGTGCGGGCTTCTCATTGTGGTGGCTTCTCTTGTTGCGGAGCACGGGCTCTAGGTGCGCGGGCTTCAGTAGTTGTGGCTCGCAGGCTCTAGAGCGCAGGCTCAGTAGCTGCGGCACACGGGCTTAGTTGCTCCGCAGCATGTGGGATCTTCCCGGACCAGGGCTCGAACCCATGTCCCCTGCATTGGCAGGCGGACTCTCAACCACTGCGCCTCCAGGGAAGTCCCCTCCTGATTTTCTTTTTTTTTGGAACAAAGCTACGTCCTCAAAATATCTTTTTCACTCTTAGGCCCAACACACCAAATAAATGTGAAGTTATTCTAACCAATCAAGTGGAGTCTCACAGCCTTGCAGACAGAAGGCAGCCCCCTTCCAGGTGCTCAGGACCAGGGAAGATGAATGGCCAGTGGCTGAGGTGACATGGAAAAGACGGGGTGTTCACAAAATCTGCCACAGGGACTTCAGTCTGCTAAGACTGGTACCACTGCATACATCTGGTGTAGGAAGAAGAAAACGATGTTGCCCCTGCCCGTACATACCCCAGGCAAAAAGGTGAAGAAGTTGTACTTCTGATTGTTGATGACATTTCGAGGGTATCTCTGGTCCCTCTTCTCGGGGTGCCCCAACCAGACCGTGCGGGGCCTGGGCTCCCCTGCACCACAGCATCTCAGCCACTCGCAGCACCTGTGGGAAAGACACGCCCACACCGTCAAGGCCACGCCCACACCCATCCACTCTTCCCAGAATGTCTTTCTCTAAAGCATTTTCACTGAGTCAGAACCACAGCCCCATCTGAGGCTTCATCCTTCAATGAGAGGGGAAAACAAAGCTGAGGCATCTAAGAAGCTGTGGTCCAAATCAAAGATGCTTTGTCCCCAAGCCCAAATTATTTCAAAAAGTAGGATTCGTTTTTAAAATAAGATTTAAGTTAAAAAAGTAAATACAGAGCAACAAGTACTGTTATCACTTTGACATTCTGCAGGTGAGAGAGGAAAGCTCAGGACAGCTGAATAAAGCACCCGAGTTTACCAAGATGTGAGAAACAGCTGAGTCTGGCCTTGAACCAGGTCCATCTTATTCTGAAACCCAGTGTCTTCGCACCCCACATGCTATCAAGGGTGCTGGTCACACCAAGATTACTATACAAAAAGAGAAGGGAAAGAATCTCCTTCCACACTCGGCTCCACGTTTTAGCAACATGCTGGAGGAACACGCCAGCAAGATGATGACTCGGCGCCCCGCATAACCTGAAGACAGGCCAGCGTACAAGCTGTAGGCAAACTGACTCCCAGGGCCGCCCCCAGAGGGCAGCTCACCAGGCACGCCTGCCCTCAGGTCACCTGTGTGAAGCCAGGGACACCTGCCCGGCTCTGGCAAAACTCAGCTGCTCTGAGACACACATGCCCACCCTCACTCGTGCCAAAAAAAGGCAGCCCATCCTTCAGGAGTGGCTATAAACAGGCATTTTGAGAATTACGAGCATTCGTGAAGGGTCTTTCATGGAAAGACCCCAGGCTGAACTGTTCACCTCCCCACCCACCCCCACAGGCTGGGAGGAAGGAACCCCAGCCCTACCAGCCCCTTGAGATGCTGCCAGCTGAAGGCAACCCATCCAGACGTGGCCATGATGACTTACATAGTCACTTGTCACCTGCGGTCGGACCCACCGTCTCCCCCTCCTCCTACGGGCCAGGCAGGCCCTGCCCAGGGACTGGGGTGCAGAGCTGAGCACGCACAGTCCCTGGGCATCGGGACTCTAAAGATTAGCAAGCCAGCAAGTTGTTGCCTGCTCAGATGCTCAAAATTTCCATGATGAAACACGATGCTCTTTCTTAAATATAGCATCCTGGTTCCCGTAAACTAGTGCTAGGGTTGGGGTGGGGAGGATGGTGGTAGCTCTCATGAGGATGGGTGTCACTTCTAATAACTCATTCGTGTTGGCGAGAGACACATACAGAAACCTTGAGGTGTCCAGCCCCATTCCTGCTCTTGGGTGTGTGTCACCCAAGCCGGCCATCCGTGGACGCAAAGCACTGAATGAGGGAGGGAGGGAGGATGCATTTGACGGAAGCACACCCTTCAACCTGCAGATACCTACCCATGGTCACTGACTTTTCTGTGAACCAGCCAGTCTCTCCCCATCCTATAATAATCCTGTAATGACGACTCCCAGAGCTGAGTGTTTCTAATGAAAGCTGAAGAATGAATTTAAGAGAATGACATACTGTCAGGCTGTTTATGAGTTTTGTCTGTTTTGTCCTAGCAGAAGGTTGCTCACAGCAAGCTACCAAGTTAAACGCTCCGTGACTTAACCGGCAGGCGTGCATGTGCACAGGGGGCAGGTCATTCAGGGCAGCCCGCACGTGGTAGCAAAGGCTGGAACCGTACCTAACCGGTCATCAGAGGGCGGCTGGTCAAATAAGCAGGGAACGTCCATACAATGGCATGCTCAACAGTCTTTGAAGAGGGAGATAGAGCTGTATGCGCTGAATAGCCCCATTTGCAAGATACGCTAAATCAGGAAGGAGCTGCAAGGTGTGTCCAGGATGCCATTCCTTGCATGAAAGCAAGAGGATACCGTGCAGACTATGCCTGCCAATGCAGAAAACCTCCACGACAGCTGACGCCACCGGTTTCCTTTGGGAAGGAGGGAGTAGGGGCGCCTTCTCCTACTTACTCTTCCATCACATTGTACATCTATTACCTATGGGACTAAATGTGCATTTTTTTTTTAGCTAAATCCATAATAGTAAGCATTTATTAAGTGCTCATCTGGTCCAACTATGATTCCAGTTCCTGTGGGGACCTAACTTTGGAACGGGATCCTTTCCTTCTACTTCCTCACAATCTCATTGCAACAAAGGGTAGTAAGCATTTGGCACAGGGTAAAATAAGGACTTTGTGTCACCTGAGCCCAGTGTAACTAGCCCCAAGCTGATCTCATTTAATCACCTTGATTGTCACCTTGTTTATTCACTTTCTACCTGCACTGGATATAAGCTGCACACTTTCAATGACTTTTAGGTCAACAGTATTAACTGAGTATCTAAGAAGAAGAAGAAGAAGACAAGGGATCATTGCTCCCTTTCTGTCACACATTCATTCACCTAGAATGTCCTGTGCACTCACAGGACGCAGGTCCTCACCTAGGGCATTCAACAGTGAGCAAGACAGACGAGGTCCTCCTCCCACGGGGAGGAAGAGAGACAGTAAACAGCTCTCTAAAATAAAATAAGGCATGGGATAAGAGAAGGAGTGGGGAAGGGGCGTGGCTCCGGGAGACTGGGTGGTCAGGAAGGCTGGGGTGACAGGTGAGCTGAGTGACAAGAAGAAACATCCATGCAACCAGGCAAGGAAGTGCCATCTAGGCAGATCAGAACCGCAAGGGCAAAGATCCAGAGGTAGGAAGCAGCCTGACACACATCTGCAGGGAAAGAAGACTAGTGTGGCTGGAATGCAACGAACACAGGGGAGAGGGTAAAAGATGAGGTCGGAGGAGGAGGAGGGGGCAGACGACACAGGGCCTTGTCACCAGGGCAAGGAGTCTGGATTTTACTCCATCCACAGTGGGGATCACTGAAGGGTTACAAGCACAGGGTGGCATGATCTGATTTAATTTTTTTTTTTTTTTTTTTTTTTGGCCACGTCTCACGGTTTGCAGGATCTTAGTTCCCCAATCAGGGATCAAACCCATGCCCCTGCAGTGGAAGCACAGAGTCCTAACCACTGGACGGCCAGGGAATTCCCGAGTTACATTTTTTTAAAGGTCCTTCTGGCTTCTGAGCAGAGAAGACGCTGCCGTGGGCAAAAGGAGAAACAGGTAACAGGTGTGAGGCTTCTTTGGGGGATGGTGAAGTGCTCTAACATTGTGGTGATGTCTGCACAACTCAGTGAATACACTAAAAATTGCTGAATTATATACTTTAAAGAGGCGAACTGCAGGGCATGTGAACTGTATCTTAACCAAGCTGTACATTAACCAAAAAAATTGGAAACAGAAGGATCATTTAGAAAGCTGTTGCCGTCATCCAGGCAAGCAAAGACTAGGGTGGTGGCAGTGAGGGGTGATGAGAAAAATAGATTCTCAAAATGTCACGGATGTAGAAGTGTAGTCTCTTTAAAAAATAATGTCTTACTTAACGTTCACAACCATCCTACATAGTATGTACTAGCATCATCCCCATTTTCATGATGGATAAACTGAGGCCCAGAGAGGACTCAGTTACCTGCTCAAGATCTACTGCTACACCAGCTCCATCTACTACCGAGTGGTAGAAGCCGACTTTAAGCCCAGGTCTGTCTGATCCAGATCCTGAGCTAAGAGCCTGAGAGTACCCTGCACAGCCATTGACAGCCCCATCAGCACAATTATTTCACAGCTCTATTTTTTTTTTCTAGTCTCTCTTCATTACATAAAATTGGAAAGATCCTTAGGGGCCATAGAGAGTGAGGGCTCTCAGGCTGCTCAAGCCGGAGCTCTTCTGTGTGCACATCAGCTGCCCTGCCCCCCACACTCATTCATTAATCTTCATATCAATGCGTTGGCTCCCAGCTCCCCAGTCACCCTTCAATGCCCGCTCTGGGATGTGGACAGACTCCTTTCTGCCTCTCCTTTACAGTCAGTGAAATGCTAAGCCTTCTCAGTAGAGGGCGCTGGAGGGACACCACTGGAGGAAAAAGCTCACCTGTGGTTTCCAGGCTGTGGCACAGTGGGCGGGTCAGCAGTGCGCTGAGTGAGGCCATCGAATGGTGCCCTGGCCAGCCATGTGCCCAGCACATGCTGTCCCTCGAGGCTTTCGAGCCCCACTGTGGCCCAGGGGTCACCTTACTAGGGCCCTCTCAACATGGACATCCCAGGCCCCAGGCCTCCTCCACACCAGTGCCCTGATTCCCTCACCCTCAGGTTTGTCTCCCAAGGTCCCCCTGTCACTGTGGCCCTTAGTGTCCCACCAGGGACACTGTGAGCTCAGGCGCCCTCACTCCCATTGTGCACCCAATGTGTCAACCACCAGCGGTGCCTGCCACCCCATCGGTACCCCTGGGATTGCTCTCTTGCTTGCCCCACCTGCAGACCAGCTCTGGTCCTGCCATCCAGTGGCCTGAACTACACTGTCTCCAACCAGGTCTGCACCCCAGCCTTAGCGAGGGGCCCCCATCCAAGTGTGTCCTACCTCAGATTCAGTCCCTTAGCCTAGGCTACCATACAGTTTTCTTCTATAGCCTACAGTTATAATTTAGTAAGTCCATTTCCCTCCATCTTTCCACCTGATTGAGCCGAGGCCAGCCCCACCTCTGAGCTCCAGGCATGACAAGCCCAGGATCCAGGCTTGGCCAAGCAGAGCCCTCAGCATGGTGCTGGGCTCAGAGAAAGGGCCAGTGAGAGGCCTGGCTGGGATTTTTGCTAGAAATTCCAAAAAGACATGCTCTTCACCCTGGGGTTGTTAAGGTGGCAGAAAACAAGCCTGGAGTCGCAGGAAGCCACCTTGCTCCTGTTTAGGGAGAGTCTGCCTGAAAATGGAGTCACAAGGAGGGTGCAGGGACCGCAGGAGGCTCCTGACCACCTCGGGGGCGAGAGTAGGTCTGTCGGTTCCCTGGGCTTCTCAAGTCTTAGGCACCAGTACATTGGTTTTTGTTTTATTTTACTTTGCTAAAGCCAATGTTAAGTGGGTGCAGTTAACCACCGC